AAACTTGACAATGGCCTCCTACGTGGACGACACAAAAAAATGCGCGGAGCTCAACGGGGTCCTCGACGATTGTGTACCATTGCGACACTTTCTGAAACATTGGTTGGGAGTGGGTTCGCATATTTGGAGCTAATGTTTCTAGGAAGTTATTCGACAGTGAATCGATTGAAGAATTTTGTAAGAGCTTCAGGATTGAACAATCACGGTAGGTCTCCTTGTGCTTGACGGCAATGGCAAGTGACGCCATCTTCTGAGACGGTAAGGGCAGTGAACGAGAGTTTGTTTATCATTAATTGCATGCATCATATAAGCCTCAGAAGAGAATAAACAACAATCAACAAGGATCATTAGACAGACACGATTCAACATAATAGAACATCTAAATGGTTAGATAAATGACAACTATGCTTAAAGGATATTTTTAATTTCTGCCCGGTCAAAGGATGTCAGAGAGCCTTCGATGCTAGTAGCCCTGCGTTTACAAGTATGCAAGACCAGCCTTTACAGAAAATTCACTTAATTTTGATGTTTCTGGCATAGAAGAAATACAATTTCAACTGACTATCCCTTGTTTTTAAAGGAATCGAACAATGTATAATAAATCGGAAACATTGACCGCGGATTCATGAAACAACTCGGAAATATTATCATCATAAGGTTTGCTTGAAACAATCAATCCGATGAGAGATAAGCAATGCCAATTGGAGAGCACCGATGCCGACTGAGACGGTATTGTTCGGGACCACTGCCATCCGTTTTATAGCCTGAGTTAATGAAAAGGGAGTTAGTTTACACATCAAAAAGAAAAACAGATGGAAAAAGAAATGAGAAAAGTTGCATTGCGACATTCCCACCTACGTCAAGAAATGTGCTCTCTTTCCGAACTAGCTAGCTCCTCTATTCCAAGTAGCATTCTGTGCTGCAATTCTTCTTTCATGGTGCTGGACGGACGAAGCGGTGGTGCGGTGGGATGACGTCTTTGAAAAGTGTTCTACGAAGTTGTTAACAGTACCACTGTCCTCCAATCATACCATTGTAAATCTTCAAATAGTTCAAGCATTTGGGTGGACAGAAATCGGTATAGTAAACAACTATGGCTCCTCAAGGCGCAGTCGATCTTAGGACTATCCGCAACAGTGCTCAACAGTGCTAGAATCTTGGACGGGCATTGGGCAGAGTGTATTTCATGATCTCGATCTCCCTACGCACGTCTGCTCTCCCGTCTGCCGACCTTTGAGTGGTGACTGGCTTCAATTTCTTGGGAGTAGTTCTAGAACCACTCAGGTGGTCGACTGACGCAGCAGAGCTTCCTCGCTTGACGCTTTTTTCCTTTTCATACGGGAATTACTTCTGTACGGCCCATGAGCCGAAGCATGTCTTCTGTAAGATACCATATATCTTTAAAAAAATCCCAAGAAATTGGGACCGCATTGATAAGTGATTGGTGTCTGTAGCGGCTTCCACGATATCTGCCGTGAATGTTGTTGTATATTACAAGTCTTTAATTGGCTTGATAATATTAATTTGTTTACAAAACGGATTACTAACCGAGTCCAGCCCGTGGAATCTTCAAAGGACCACCTCATTTCAGGACTAGCTCCGAAAATTTTCCACTTACGAAAATCGTCAATGAGCAGTATTAGGCCGGAATGGGCTCTTACTCTTATTGATCCTTTCATGGAATTGGGAATGAAGGATCTGCTACAGCGTAATCGTAAAAACAAAAACGCTAGGAGAAGAGAAGGTATCGAGCCACTAAGCAATACCAAGAATTTGAAAAAAAATTAAAAAATGTAGTCTTATATAACAAGATTTAGTGTTTTTGTAGTCGTAGTTGGTTGCAATATATACTCCCGGAAAAATTGTTAAGTACTGCTATGCCAACAGCCTAAACATACCAAAAAATTGATAAAAAGGAAATGTATTAAAAAGCAAATGCATTAAATGAGGGAGGTGGTTCGTTTGCCTCTCACTCAGACGAACCACTGATTCCGCCGATCCCATGAGGCTCTCCGGTGAGTAGAGGGATGACATAATCAAGGGAATGATGAAATGGGTAAAAAGAAAAAGGGAATAATCAACGACGTCGAAGTGTATATACTATGAAAAAGCATGATAAGGGATGCGATGATTAGGGAAGGAGTTGTAACCTTAAAAAATAGTGAGAATGCGAAAGGTACGTTGTTATAATAGTTACTTATTTTATAATTACAGCAAATGTCTTGAATAACTGGGTAATAGAAGAATAAATTAAGAAAACTGGGAGATAAACTGTACAAATACACGTCAACTGCACCAGCGATAGAGTTAGGGTGGATTTAATCTTTTGGGAGGGTGTCCCCATAAAAACAATGTAACCAGGGAAAGAGCTGCCAGAATATAAGGCATTTAGGTAGAAATTTACGTTGCAATACATATTGATGGCATTAGCTATTGGGTATTATGTAGAAGATTAATATGGGCATTATGTAGAAGATTAATATGGAAATTGAAGTTGTTCAAAAGGAAAATATGTCCTATGCGGAGTTTGATTTTGTTCAAAAACCATTTTTGATCAGGAAAACATGGATGCCAGTGAGGAGACCGTCGTGAGGAGAATGAAGAAGATCATCGAATTCAAGATGCCTCAATCAGTGATGCACGGGTTGTAGAAAATTTTCGAGTAGTAAGTTAATTATTATTTTTTTATTTAGGGAACAAAAAATTAACCTAAACGTGGTGAAAAAATTGGGAACTAATTGGCAGAAGACTCATTCATTAGTTTGCGTCCATAGCGAGTGGCGGTGTTCTCGATCGATGTCGCAATATGTCTCGGATCGAACCAACGCCGGGAGATACCTTACCAAGAGAAGAAAGCCTATTCAGCATAGTCTCTCAACTATACTTACTGAGCGGTGAGAATGCACGTGGTCTGTTGATTCTAATTAACGAGATTTTGTTCCCGAAAATACCAGAATTCATCCCGCTACTTCAACAGTTCCTCAGTAATTTACCTTCGCTATCTCTTGAAAATATAAAATCGGAAAAATGAATGCTCTATATCTTCTGAGTGTGCATGGAACGAAGAATGGTCTCCTCGCTTCACAGCTTCAGAAATACATTGGAAAAGTACGTCTCAGGAATTCCGGACTTTCAGTACGGAGGCACGACAGGTCGAGGCGTTCAGAATGGGAAAAGCCAATAATAAACCATGTCTTGTTAAGTGCGTTTTCTACTCAGAAAAGCTTCTTTTAGATGCTCCTTCTTGAGCTGATCAACTGCGCCCTTCCTCCATGTTTAGTAACGTAAAGATCAGAAAATCGATGCCACCGGAGAATAGGTCAAAAGATCGGGACCTACGCAAGAAAGCCTATGCGCGAAATCACGATGAGCACAACGGTAGCCGCGGGATATTCCCTCAATTGGAGAGGCAGGTTCAAAAACTGATAAGTTAACAACCACAAGAGTGTCGTTGCGGGCTGCTAAAGGCTCGCAGCCTTGTAAATAAATTACCTCACTTTCCCCGTTTAATTGCAATGGTCTAAACTGATAACGCTTCCGTAATAGAGTCGTGGTTAAATCCCAAAATAGTTGATCGCGGAGTATGCTGAGACATTCCCTTTACCTATTCCGAGGATAAGGTAAGAAGAAAAGAGGGGGTATTTCTCTCTATCAGTTACTCTCATGTGAAAACACTGAGTTTAGCTCTCCGGTTAGTGTCAGCTGTTTTATTAAGCTGATGTTTTGTTCTCTGCGGGGAAACACAACGTTTATTTATTTTGCTGCATCGGCCCCCATCCTTCTCCGCGTCCCAGGATGAACAGCTCTTATTGACCCTATTTAGTTTGGCATCTTCCAACACTCGTAGGAGTACTCAAATCAGCTATTGAGTATGAGATAGGATCAGTAATTAGCTCTAGGGCGATGGA